ATTAACTGAGATGTGTCTTTGAGCACTCAGCATCAAGATACAGATAAAAATCTGTATCTAAAGCATCATACTAGTAAAAGTTGATCAGAGTGAGAGCAGATATTGGCTCGGCTTTGATACTTGAAGAACAAAGATGTGTGTAGACACCAAACAAGAAGGAAACAAGTAAGATGAAGGTTTTTCTCTCTTATGATTTGAAACCAAATTAAGGCATGTTAGGATCATAGTTGTGTTCTGTCCTTTGCAATTGAAACGTAGCTCTGGTCTTCTTGAAAAGTTGGTGCAAAGATTGGGTTAAGAATTTCGGAGTGAAACGAAGGAGTGGAATTGGATGAGGGTATTGCTGTGTCAGAAAAGTGCTCGCTCTGAAATCCTCTCACCCAACACTGACTGCAGGGCAGCTGTCTCCTGCAGCTGGGCAATGGTGTGAACTTGATGGACCCAAGCTTCCAGCAGAAACTGGAGGGTGAGAAGGAGCTGCTGCGCAGAGCTATCCAGAAAGAGCTGAAGATCAAAGAGGGAGCAGAGAACCTGCGCAAAGCGACAACCGACAGGAAGAATCTCGTTCATATCGAGCATGTGCTGAAGTCTTCCAACAGAAAACTGGAGCAGCTGCACTGGGAACTTCAGGAGCTCAATGCAAGGATTGTAATAACAGACAGAGAGGAGAGTAAGACAGGTAGGTCTTGGGGCATGATTGACAGGAAAATTCTGTTCCAGTGCTTTAATGCTTATAGATATTGGATTGATGATTCATAGAGATGTTGAGTTGAATTTTTCTGTTGGGGGCTTACAAGTAGTGGGAGCTGCTTCTGTTGGTCTTTAGCTGGTGAAATGATCTTTGGAGCACAAAGTTGAGAGTGGGGCAATCAAGGTGGAAGGAGGTAATGTGAGAAATTAGTGTAGTGAGAAGACCACCTGAGAGAGCAATGCAGGGGCAATGTTGAGGACTAGGCTGTAGGTGGAACTGAAGAGATTTGAATAGAGTTTCTGGCAGTTGAACATCCAAGTACCTTACAGGATGAATGAGTATAAAATTGAAAGTGCTTGTTGGGACAGGTTCATTGACAAAGAAATATTTACAGATAGAAGCTTGAGCTTCATTTGAAACAGTGTTTTGAGTCAGTTTTGCAGACAAGACCTTTTTATACCTTATTTTATAGCCTAACTTTCCTTTCTAGAGTCACTCAATCACTGAAATGAAACAAGAGAAGGTGTCTAATGGTATTGATTGTGTTGTTTGTGCAGATGGATCTGCATCTCCAGATCCTTGCCTCTGGGAAAGAGACCCAGACCCCATGGCAAGGAAGGTTGAAGCTCTGAAAAAGCAGCTGCATGTTGAAATGAAAGTGAAACAAGGAGCTGAGAACATGATCCAGTTGTATTCCACATCCAAGGTAAGCAGGAATAATCAGCCATTTTGGAACATGGATTGAAGTTTGTATTTAAAGTCTCTGCACAAATCTCTGTCTGACGATTGCTGTGGGAACGAAATTCAGTTGTGAAGCTTTCCTGCCTGAGTCCTAGCTATGTCCTTTGGGTCATGTTACTGCACATAGGGGTGGTATGAGGTACATTCAGTCACTGACTTGAGGAAAACAAGTTGACCATGCATTGGTTTTGTACTGAGCTGGTGTGATGTTTTGACATCACTGGGTTGTTTAGGATAAAGCACCGCATGTGGTTTCTCTTTATGTGAGAAAAATTTTCAGAGGTTTGCTGGACTCATATTCATCTCACTTTTTGAGTTTGGTACAATCATATTTAAAAGTCAAAGGCTAATTAAGAAAATTTAAAATTCAAGCTTATTCTGAAGCTGAATTCAGGAACAGCAGCAGTGCAGAGGGCTGTGGTGTTTTTATTTGTCCAAAACCTCTGCTCACAGAACACCATAAGTGCAGTTAAGCAGGGAACAACAAGTCTTGGTGACTGCAAGGTTTGGTATTAACTGGACATGTCCTTGACCTGTCCTTTCCCTCTGCAAATGGAGGTGGTGATCTCTGAGCCCTCAGCAGTTCCTCCTTTACATAACCACTTGTGTAAGCCGTTTCAGAGTCACTTATGACCTCTCTTGCAAGTATCACCTTGTCCTAATATGTGAGCACATCACCAGAACCCGTTTCTATTGATCCTGGTTCTGTCTCTGCACATGTTTTCCTTTGACAGGAGCGAAAACTTTTGGCTACAGCTCAGCAGATGCTTCAGGACAGCAAGACAAAGATCGAGATAATCCGTATGCACATCGTGAAAGTATCCCAGTCAGCAGGAGGGATGGAAGATACAGTGGATCCTGCAGGTAAGGGGCTGTAAGTGACTGATACAGCCCAGAACAGATGTAGCCAAAGTCCTAAGATCCACAGTGCTCAGTTCATTTTCATCCTCACCGTAATTTGTCTCCCAAATGGCCAGTGAGGATGGGGAGCACCATCAGCGCGTTGGAGCTGCGTGTGGAGGAGCTGAGGCATCACCTGCGCATTGAAGCTGCTGTAGCTGAGGGGGCAAAGAATGTGCTGAAGATCCTCGGAGGGAGTCGAGTGCAGGATCGCAAATTTCTGGCTGAGGTGAGCTGATAGTGCTCAGGCTTTGAGAGAGTGGTTTCATGCCTCAACGCTGGTGATTTAGCATGAAGAAGTAGAGTTAACCGAGTCACTAATTTAGGAAGTTCCTCTGTGAGCACAGACTGATTGGGATCACTTTCCCCTCTAGAGATAACATTCCTTGCTTTGAAATTTCTCAGGAGCACCAGAAGTGATGCTGATGGGATGATCAGGGCCTATAGGGAAATATTTCATCTTGTTCCTTTATTAGCAAATGTTACCTTGTTGGGTTTTTTTGAAGCTTACTCTAGTAGTTCTTGAAGGATTTTAATAGTCCCTGGACTGGGGCTGTACATGGAGAATTTGTGCCTGACTCCTGTTCTCATGGTTAGGCTCAGGGACGTTTGCAAGAGTCCTCTCAGAAGATTGACCTGTTGCGCTTGTCCTTGGAGCGGCAGCTCAGTGAGCTCCCCCCTGATCACCCAAAGAGAGCACTCATCAAACAGGAGCTGGTAAACACGTCCTCCCTGGGAGCTCAGCACTGCAGCATCCAACCCACCTCAGTCTTCAAGCCTACAGCCCTCACAGGTACAGGAATCCTGCGTGGCATGTTGTTGTGAGGAGGACAGAGGGGAAAAAGCAGTTGCATTTCTTCCTGTTGTTCTTGTCTTAGTGTGGACATTTCATTTTCTAGGAACTGAACTTGTATCTTCTAGGCCAGGCAGAGCTTTCTGATCGTGTAGATTTGCAGTCTGTTGAGTGTAGAATTGATTTGAACTGTTATCCAAGAAGTCATGAATCTAAGAAATTCCTGGACCTCTGTGAGGACAGGCTGACTGGAATAACTTTCTCTCCTACATAATAATATCCCTTACTCTCCTAAAATTCCTCAGGAACACTGGAAGTGAGACTGATGGGGTGTCAGGATCTGTTGGAAAATGTTCCGGGCCGTTCCCGAATGACTAGTTCTTCTCCCATCTGTGGCAGCCCAAGTGACTTGAGGTCCCTGTCCCGAACACGAGTTGGGCTGAGTATCCATGGCCGTGGTGTTGCAGGAAAGTACCTGCGGAATGAAGAGCCATGTAGTGAGTATGGGGCTCCCTGTTGACCTGGGGGTGACATTTGGGAGCATGGGGGAGTCTCATCATGGTGCAGAGTCAGCCTGGTGTGAGTGTTGATGATACATCATTGGGAGGAGCTGGTGATACCTCAGAGGGCTGTGCTGCCCTTCAGAGGGACCTTGACAAGTTGGAGAGATGGGCAGGGAAGAAGCACCTGAAATTCAACAAGGGCAAGTGCAGGTCCTGCACCTGGGGAGGAACAGCCCCAAGCACCAAGACAGGTTGGGTATTGACCTGCTGGAGAGCAGCTCTGTGGGGAAGGACCTGGGAGTTCTGGTGGACACCAAGCTGTCCATAGCCAGCAGTGTGCCCTTGTGGCAGAGAAGGCTAATGGAATCCTGGGATGCATTAGGAAGAATGTTGTCAGCAGGTTGAGGGAGGTGATCCCGCTCCTCTGCTCAGCCCTAGTGAGGCCTCACCTGGAGGATTGTGTTCAGTTCTGGACTCCTCAGTATAAGAGGGACATGTTGCTCCTAGAGCAGGTCCACCAGAGGGCTGAGAGGGACCCTCATCCATGTATACAAGTATCTAAAGGGGTGCCAAGAAGATGGACACAGATTCTTCTCAGTGGTGCAAACCAATAAAACAAGAGGCAGTGGACAGAAACTGATGCACAGGAAGTTCCACCTGAATTTGATGAAGAACTTCTGTACTGTGCAGGTGACTGAACACTGAACAGATTGCCCAGAGAGGTTGTGGATTCTCCCTCACTGGAGATGCTCCAGAGCCATGTGGATGCAATCCTGTGCCATGTGCTCCAGAATGGCCCTGCTTGAGCAGGAAGGTCATCTGGTCCCTTCCAACCTGATCCGTTCTGGGATTTCTGCAAAACTAAGGGAGAGAAGGAGTTGTGTTATACCTGGGTCTAGGACTCTCTTGGAAATTGCATTTGGTTGGGATTATTCACCTTCAGCATGACAGATTGTCTTTGGTAAAAGGTTATAATCTATGTCTTCTCCTTTGTTCAGATGAGGTCCTTGCTGTGCTCAAAGTGGACAATAAAGTGGTTGGCCAAACAAACTGGGGACCAGTTAATAACCAGGCATGGGACCAGAGCTTTGTCATTGAGCTGGACAGGGTAAGTCTACCCGAGGTTCCTGTGCTGTGTTTGTTTTTCCATCTCACCTCACCTGATTTGCTTGTTTCGCTGCCATTCCACTTGCCTCAGCTCCATATTGCTGCTGTCCCCGTGTCCTTTCATGTGCCAGTTTTCTCAGCCTTCCCCTGAAGGCAGAGCATCTCTGCCAGAGATTCAGCCTGAGCAGCATCTGTTGTCCTTCTCTCCTTATCTGAGCAGTTTTATCTCATCTTAGCAGCAAAGTGGCTCTCAGGGATTTCTAAATGGGGAGCCAAGACAGCCACCTCCAAAGAGGGTCTGTAGCTAAGAGCTGAAGACATCAGTTAGAGCAGAGAACAGAAGGATTAAAGATGCTTTTATGGATACTCTTCAGTTTAATGCTTTTTTTCCTACAACAGCATATATGTGCCATTTTCAGAGCATGGGGAGGTGTGTAACTATTCTTTTTCTTTCCCCCCATCCCACCAGTCTCGTGAGCTGGAAATTGCAGTTTATTGGAGGGACTGGAGAGAACTCTGTGCAGTGAAGTTCCTACGTTTGGATGATTTTCTTGACAACGAACGTCACGGGATGTGCCTCTCGCTCGAACCCCAAGGGATGCTCTTTGCAGAGGTATAAATGTAAGCTTGGCTTCTTCTTCAGAGAGCTCTGCTGAGGGTGCCCTGAAAGCAGCTGTTCCACCCAGACCACAAGGAATGGAAGGAGCAATAATCTAGAAGGGTAGAATGACACCTGAAGTCCTTTGGCATCAATATCCCATATAAGAATAAGGAGCAATGTGATATAATAGAGGTACACATGCCATAGCCTGGAGTGACTCTTCAGCTGCTCCTCTGTAATTATGTGTGTGTGCTGTGGGATCTGTTTGGTCTCATTTGCTTTCATTATGAGTCACTGGTGATACTTTAATTAAACATATGGCTTAATGGTCAGGATTGAATCACAGAGACTGTAGAATCTGAGATCCAAATTCCCTCTGGCTATGCTTATTTTACCATCTTTCCGAGGCTAATAATACTTTGAAGTACCATCAATGAAGAGATCATCTAGATAATCTCTTGCAAGTCAAAGTGCTTTCTCATTTGTGTTGTGATGAAGGTTCCTGTGGTTATCTTTCCAAAGTATCATCTGGACCTCATGCACCAAAATTTGCATCCTTTCCCTGCCTTCTTGGGTTTTGTGGTTTGGGTTTGTGGTGGTTAGTTGCTTTTTTTTGGTTCTCCTGTGCCATGAACTGTGGGTTAGTTATCCTACAAATGGATGTGTTCTTCATGCATGGCTTTCATGCAGGCCCCTCAGTTCAGGAGGGACATTGAGGTGCTGGAGCAGGTCCAGAGAAGAGCAACGAGGCTGGTGAAGGGACTGGAGCACAAGTGCCATGAGGAGAGGCTGAGGGAGCTGGGATGGAGAATCTGCTGGGAGAACAGGCATGTCTGAAAGTTTTGTTCTTACAGTTTAAATGAAGAACCTATTGCTTCCCTGACAGGTGATGTTCTGCAATCCTGTCATTGAGAGGAAGCCAAAACTGCAGCGACAGAAACGCATTTTCCCCAAGCAGAAAGGTGAGCTGCAGACAACTCCCTGCCCTGGCTGTGGGGTGAGGACAGGGCTTGGCAGGCTCTTCTAGCCCATTCAGTCTGTGAGATATTAAAACTCTCACAAATCACTGTGTGTGTAAGTTTCAGTCACAGCAGCCTGACTGCAGCACGGGCTGCAGTGTGACATTGTCATGGTCTTGCTGTTCACAGTTGTTAGAAAGATATAATTGGTTGTTATTTGACAGACTTCTTAGCTCTGGGGCCACCAAAATAAGAAGGACATGGACCTCTGGAAGCAAGGAGGGCCATGAGGATGCTCAGAGCACCTCTCCTTTGAAGACAGGCTGAGAGAGCAGTGTTGAAATAGAAGAAAACCTGATTTAAAATCAATTTTTAACATTTTATGCAATTTCAACTTGAGGATTGTTATGAGGATTGTTACGAGGATTGATATGATTCTTTCAAGGCCAGGCTGGATAAAGCCTTGACCAACCTGATCTAGTGAGGAGGTGTCCCTGCTCAGAGCAGGGGTTGGGACTAGATGAACAATAAGGTCCATTCCAATCCCTAAATTCTATGATTCTATGATATCATATGGAGCTAAACTTAGGTGAAATAGTAGATCTGTTTCATCATCATTATTAACACTTCTTCCCTGAAAAAAAGCCCATTTTCCCAAGGGTGGGATACCTTCTTGGGCAACCCACAGGTGTTTGGGTGAAAACAATAATGTAACACTATGTGAGACTGTAATCTGTGAGTTGTGATCTCACTGGGGTTTGGACTCTGTTCCTCCAGGGAAGGAATTTCTCCGAGCTCCTCAAATGAACATGAATGTTGCTGCTTGGGGTCGCCTGATGATGAGTTTCCTCCCTCCCTGTAGTTCCATCAGTTCTCTGAGTCCTCCACTTCATGATCCCAATCACACAGACTTCTCTCCAGTGTCCCCACAAAGTCATGTGGATTCAGTGTCCAAACTGAGCAGGTAAGTCATGTTCCCAGTGCTGCTGGTGACAGTGGAATGGGTGTGAGACAGATACGAAAGTTCTGGTGCACCTTATTGAGGTGGAAGAAGACACTGCTGAGAAAAACATGTCTCTGCACAAACAGATCTACTGTTTCTGTGCTGAAAAGGAAAGAAAATTCCACTTACTGAATGTCTTTACCAGCACAGTAACTGATCTTTGCAAGGTCACTGGGATTGTTGTGACAAAATTGGCCTCTGCTTCCATGAGGTTACATATACATACCCAACCACTGGCATAATGTAGCACTCAGAAGGGACAGAGCTGAGCTTTGCAATGTGCTGTAGAAGAAAATTCCACCCCAAATAATTTTTTTTAATCGTTGGAATGAGTTTTTAGACTCAGTCATGCTCTGAAGAGATTATTCCCCCTGATGCACAAGATCTAGGAAAGAAAACAAATTGAGACAATTCCTGTGTTGCTGCTAAAATCAAGATTTCCTTTACATTCTTGATCACAGTGACTTATTTCTACACACTTGTTTTGTTGGTTTTACAGCATCAGAGAGGCAGTGTTGGAATGTGAATCTAACCAACTTTTAACTCATTTAGGAGACCCTATGCCTTGTTGATACTGCACAGACTCTTGGTGAGAGGCAGGGACTCCTGTTGTCCAGTGTGTTGGACTGAACTAACCCAGCAAAGGTGATGCAAAGGTGTCTCTGTACAATGTTCTGCTCTAAAGTGAAATCTCCTTCAATCCTCTCTTAAAAATGCAGTGAATTCCCTGTGGCTAAGCTTACATTTGCTGATGAAGCACCACCCAAGCCTCCACGCCTGTTTCTGATGGGAAACTCCAAGGAATCAACACCATCTCCTGCAGATTCTCCGGTAATCATCTGGGCTGACAGGGAAATTTGTCTCTGGTTGATGGTCTTCCAAGGCCTGATTCTTCTTGCTTGTTTATTACTGAAGAAATTAGCCAGACTTTAGGCAGGCACCTCCTGGCTGATCTCTGGGGAATCAGAATTCAGAGTCTTCACAAAGTGTTGCCCCTTTTTTTCCCCCCCACTTTTTAAAGAAATTATTAGGTTGCTTTTCTTGGAGAAGCAAAATGGGAGTTAGATCAGCACTGGGAGTTCAGGGCAAGAGTACAGAACAGATGACTGCACAGGGAAAGCAGGGAAGGGGGTCAGCAGGTCTTTAGGACCAGATGGAATTCTTTGGCATTAAACAAACAGGGCAAAACCTAGAAGAGCTTTATTTTTCTGACAGGAAGGAGCAGGAAAATTGCTTTGAGTAGTCAAATGGTTAATGACCTGTGTTCTACCACATCTTACCCTTTCTCATTTGGTGATAGTGGAAACTGCATTGCTTGATCATTCTCTTTTGAGAGGCTTTTTTTTTCCAGTATAGAATATTTCCTTCCTAGACTTTTAAAAGTGTTTCTTATAAAAGGTTTGACCCTATAAGAAAATATTGTACATGGGAACAGCTTTGTGTGCCCACAGACAATGTGTTTTCATGCTGCTTCACTCTGAGCAGGGCAATGACCAACAGCAAGAACTTGTCTGTCGTGCTGGATCCTGACAGAGGAGAAAATTTGGATGTGGGTGCTCAGGTCAGACTTGGTGATTCCAGAAGATGACCCACTGTATTTTTCTTTCTCTTCCTAGTGTCTGAAGAGGCTGCATGTTGAGGAGAAGTCTTGCAGCTCTGCTGTAACAGGTTTTCCAGTCCCAACATCTCCAAGGTAACAGTGGGAACAGCATGGGCTGTCTCAGGTCATAGGTTAAAGAGGTGCTGGGCTGAAATTTTTGAGCATGCAGACTAAAACAGGTGTGCTTTGGTTTCTCAGCAGCAGGTTCTTAGCCCTGAGTGTGGGCATTGCCATGAAAAGTCTGCACTAAACTTTGATTGCCCAAATGTCTGCTGTGCCTCATCTGCTCATTAACCCCAACCCCCAATCTGTCCATGAACTGCAGTGTAACGGTGACTCTGGGAGAAGGTGAAGTCACTTCAGTGTCTCCAGGTGCTTCCTTGTGTTGAAGTGTTCTGATGTAGCACATTCAGACATGTCTGCATTCTGAGCAGTGAAACCATGTGGTCAGGATACAGCCAGCACCTACCTACCCTCTCTCCAGGAAGGCCAGGGAGGGAGTTGAGTCCTTCATGGGCAGATACTTAGCTCTTCATTTCACTTACTGGAGGAGTATGGTGTGTCTGTTGCCTTTTAAAGATGATCCTGGACTCTAAAGCATTTCAGGTGTGGGTTGTTGGTTTTTTTGTGGTTTCCTAGCAATTCTGCAGCCTGAGTTTCCTTGATAACACCTTGTGGCTGACATTACATTCTAGAACATCTCTTTATTCAGCTACTTTCTTCCAGCAACATCTTGTGCCTGTTGTCTCACTGTGTTTTAGTGCCAGTTCCTGTTTGAGAGCTTCTTTTCACCTTTTGTCCTCCTAGCAATGTAGACATGTTCATATCTGATTAACACAATTGCTGTTGAATCCACTGAAAGGAGTGTTGGCAAAATCAAATTTTGCCACCCCAAGGACAGGGGTGGAAGGGAACTAATCCTGTTATGGGAAGTAACAGAGAGAGCAGCTTTGGAGAGTCAGAAATGTTGTTCCTGTTGCCAGCACAGATGGAAGTCAGACTGCTGCCATTGGGAGCACTTTCTTCAGTTTTCTGTTACCTTCTCCTGTCTTCAGTGGAAGAACAGCAGCAGCAAGTCTTAGTTGTCAGGATTTCAGCTTGGTGAAGAGTGGCTGACACAGCTGTTTGCTTTCCCTTTTGCCATACAGAGCTTCTTCCCCTAACACAAACACACGCTCCTTTGTTATCTGCTCATGCATCTTTTGGGTATTGTCTCAGCAATTCTTCTCTGTTTGTCTGCAGGAAAAGGACAGTTCAACTCGAGGATTTTCACTGCATTGCTATGTTGGGCCGTGGCCACTTTGGGAAGGTAGGACAGCAGTGCACTGTGCAGGAGGGCAGAGGTTGTGGAGAAACACTGTGGTACAGGAGAGGTTTGTGGCAGTGCAGATCCAGAACAAACCCAGCCCAGCCACACAAGCAGCTGATAGCTATTGTTAACTGTCAAAACTCCTGATGGTTTGTGGCTTCAAAGCCTGGAGTAAACCATCCTGGGAGTGCTAAGTCATTTCCTAAAGCACACCAGTACCATTCCTGCCATTAGCATGAGGATCCCTAATGGAATAGCTCCATGCCCAAAAGTGTGTGCATAGTTGCTTGCTGTGAGAGCTCTGAGGTGCTCATAAAGCACTGGGCCAGCTGTGATACCACTGTCTGTGAGAAGGACATAACTTACACTGACATCCTTCTGGATTGCTGCAGCACAAGGAACAGAACAGAAGTGCTCCATTTCTGGAGTTCCTCGAGGTTGGGTTTGAGCATGATTGTCTGGAGTGGATGGAAATAATTTATGTCAGTGGGAGTCAAAGTAATCTGATAAGGAAATAAGAGATTTGTTTGAAGTACAGCTTTTCTGTTGTCTTTCAGGTACTGCTAGCCCAATACAAGGCAACTGGGAAGCTGTATGCCATCAAAGCCTTGAAGAAAAAAGATATCATTAGGAGAGATGAAATTGATAGGTGAGATTTGTTTAGGTGCTGTTGCCAGAGGCTGCATTAACACATCTGTAATCAAACCTTAGGAGGTATGATGTGTCATGGTACTCTTAGGGTTAAATGTGACCTTAAGGCTTGGGTAACTATAATAAGGAACATTGAAACTTCTAATGGTGTCTTAACTTTTGCAAGAGTGAACACTCTAAAACTCAAGGTTTGGAAGTGTGTAAGATAAATATTTGCCTTAGCCCTCACTTTACTTCTCTAACTTAAGGTGTAAAGATTTTCTCCTTCATCCTGTGATTCTCAAGAGAAGTTTCTCTGCCAGTGTTAACATCGACATTTTCCTTCTTTGACCCCTGACAGCTTGAACTGTGAGAAGAGAATATTTGAAGTGGTCAATTCCTCTGACCACCCCTTCCTTGTGAACATGTTTGCCTGTTTCCAGACACCTCACCATGCCTGTTTTGTGATGGAATACACCCCAGGTGGGGACCTCATGATGCGCATACACGAGGATGTCTTTCCAGAGCACATGGCACAGTGAGTTAGAACTAGATCAGTCTCCAATCACTACACATTTTTAACTTGAATCTCATATAGATTTCCTGACAACTGTTTCTGTCTTTTAGGTTTTATACAGCCTGTGTAGTCTTGGGGCTCCAGTTCTTGCATGAGAAGAAAATTGTGTATAGGTAATGCAACAGAGACTCGGCAGCCTGAAGGCTGATTTGCCCTGGAGCTGTGTCTGGAGCTCTCTGTCTTGCTTGGGGTTTCTAATCTTTCTCTCTGTCTTTATTTTCCCCATTGCCTGTTGCTATCAGCATGTTCATCGTGCTCACAGTAAAGAAAGTCACCTAGAAGCTATTCATCTGGCAGGTTGCAGGTGATCAATCCTCTGTGACATGTCAGTACGTTCTGAGGGGCACCTGTAAGTCACTGCTTTCCTTTTTACTGTGATAGGCAAGGAATTTGTCATGCTGCTGTGGGAAGCTCTTTGCCAGAACAATAAGTCCTGCCCAGCTCCTTTGTGAGCCTTTCATTAAGTGGAAAACACCAATAAATTAAGGGGAAACTTCTAAATAATACATGATTTGAACCAAATGGAGACTGTACTCAATTTAATTTTACTCTCTTTACTAACATGTAGCTTCTGCCTCTTGTGAAAAAACGTGTTGGATGGCAATCCTGAGACTTGATCCACTGTTTTCTTGAATCTCCTTTGCCTACAGGGACCTGAAATTGGATAATCTCCTTTTAGATGCTGAAGGATTTGTGAAGATTGCAGATTTTGGATTGTGTAAGGAAGGTGAGTGAGTGGAGGAGCTGAAATGGAGCCACCAGGATCAGTTTAGGAGCTGAGCTTTAGTAGGTGGTTTTGTGTAACTTGCATGAATCCCCATCTTCAAAATAAAACCAAAAGCCATTAAAAACAAAACCCCAAACCCACAACAAACCCTCTCATCTACCTGGCCATGATGAATTTGGGAAAAGTTTTGGCCTTTAATCTTCAGGAAACTTATGAAGGCATTTAAATTGTGCTGGTTTGGTTAAAGGAGCCTGAATATAGGATTCTGAAAAAAGCATACAAGAGTAAATGAGCAATGGAATCTGCAGGAGGTTTCCTTGGTTTTGCTGTTTATTTAAGCATTGTCTGTGTATTTGTGATCTGGAGTTGTTGGGGCCTCAGGTTTCACTGGCATTTCACTTCCTCACTGGTGTTTGCAAGCACTGATAAGGACCTTTGCCCAGGTAACAGCATCAGGTGACAACTTAGAGCCTTCAGAAGGTGAGGCTGCATGTGATCCACTTGGTAGCGTGTGCTGGGCTTTACAAGAGTCCTTTTCCTACAGGAATAGGCTTTGGAGACCGGACAAACACCTTCTGTGGCACCCCTGAATTTCTGGCCCCAGAAGTCCTGACAGACATCTCATACACACGAGCTGTGGACTGGTGGGGACTGGGGGTGCTCATTTATGAGATGCTTGTTGGTGAGGTAAGGCCACTTTTCCCACAGAGGCCTCACCCAGCAGGCCTGGAGACCTGACCTTCTGAGAGAACATTCTGTTAACTGTAGCCAATTATTTATTAGCACTTCAATTAAATTTTTCTCCTGCATTGTGATTGCCAAACACTAATTAATCCAACTGCTCCCTGCTAGTCTCATCCCTGTTTAAGAGTGAGGATTGGATGCTATGTGGATTGAATAACAAAATGTCCCAATTGCAGTCACCATTCCCTGGAGATGATGAAGAGGAAGTCTTTGACAGCATTGTCAATGATGAAGTTCGATACCCACGGTTCCTTTCAGCTGAGGCACTGTCAGTAATCCGTAAGGTAATGGTTTGCTGTGTCTCTGGGAGCCTGAGCAATCTGCATTTACTGTGCAATGAGGACCAGACAGCATTTGTGTGTGTAATCTGGAGCTGCCCACGCAGACTAAAGAAACATTTAAAATTTACACACATTTTTCCTTTCCATCTCTTTACATAAATGTGATTCTCCTGCCCGAGGATGACTAAGCAGCTGCTCACTGCTGCTGCTAGGTCTGCCATGGAGAAGTGTCGATTCCAGGGCAGGAAGGTCAGAGCCATTCCATGGAGGTGGCTGCATGCAGGTTTTGCCTGTGACCCAGCAGTCACAGGTGCACAGTTAAGCTGAGATGCTTCATGCAGTTTATGGCAGGATTTTTATTGCTGTTGGCAAGTTGTGTGCAAGGATCTAAGTCTGAGCTATTCCTAGCTGATGATGACCTTGGTGCACAGGGAGAGTGAGAAGACACTGAGGCATCAGTCCATCTCCTTTCTTTTGTTTGTCTCTCTGGAACACTATTTCTGTCCATTCTTGTTCTTGCTCTTTAATTTTGAACTGGTATTTCTGCAGCTGCTTCGGAAATGTCCAGAGCGTAGACTGGGAGCAGGGGAAAAGGATGCAGAGGAGATTAAAATCCAGCCTTTTTTTAAGGTAGGAGCTCATTGTATCCCTCTCTCTCATGCTTTGTGTTTGAGCTGAGGGTGTTTTGCTCTCTGTTGGTATTGAGGCATATTTCCATCAGTTGTCAGTGAGATCTCAGTGGGAGCTTCTGTTGCACCTCATTGCTCTGCTCAGGAACACGTGATTCAGTTCATGTTTTCTGGGATCTGTAAGCTCCCAGAGCCAGTTTGTTATTTCTGCTTGTGCTGCTGTACAAATACACTTAACTTCAGAGACATCAACAAATACTCCTTTGTAAATCAAACTGCAGCAGTCACAGATGTTGTCTAGTGGTGACAGTGATTGACAGTCTGTTTGGTGTCACCTGCATTTATCAATCTGGCCTGTTCCCTTCTTTCTCTTCCAGGGAATGGACTGGGATGCCTTGTTTGCCAGGAGGCTGAAGCCTCCCTTTGTGCCCACATTAAGACATCCAACTGACATCAGCAACTTTGATGAAGAGTTCACATCCCAAAAGCCAATCCTTACTCCTCCCGAGGAAGTTGCTCTCCTAACCCGTAAGGAGCAAACTGTCTTCAAGGACTTTGACTTTGTTTCCAGACACCTTTTAGGTGTTTGATTCCTGTGCTGTAAAAAAAAAACCCACATGAAGAGATTGTTACCACCTTGAGAGAGCACAGAGAGGACTTGGCAGGGCCAGTGGAAAAGTCAACAGGATTCCTAGAACAGGTAGTGCTGATGGCCCCAGGGTGAGGAGCTCTGCAAGCTGAGCCAACCTTGCTGGGGTTTTCCAGCCTCATTTGTTGGAGGGATACTGGATGTCAGTTGTCTTTAAAGAATAATTAATGCTTGACTGGATGTCTCTTCTGCTGTCACTGAATAGAGATGGAAATTTTGGAATTTAAGCAGGACTTGATGGAATCAAATAATCTCTGCAATCCAAGTTATTCTTTGTGAAAAGCCTGAGAACTGTGGCTCTGTAAAAGCTGTAGAGTAGCAGAGGAATGGTCACTTCTCACCTGTTTCTTAGAGAAGTGGTGCAGCATTCCCTCTTGGTAATGATTTTTATGCCCATTCCCACTCATAAATACATGTATGCCAGAGCAGGGATGGATTTTAGCACAACCAAGATAATGATTGATAATGATCCAAGTGATATGTCCTAAGGAAAATGAATCTCTTTTTACTCCTTTAGGGATGCCAAATCTTGGCTATTGTTTTTAATGATATAAAAACCTCACAGCTTTGCATGTGGGGTTTTTTTTTCCTTCTTTTTGAAAATAAAGATACATTTACTTATAATAAATGTTTAGCTTCTCATCTCCTTTGTGCCAGCTGAATGTTTTGGACCAGGCCTAACCACCACCTGCTCAACAGGTAGGATTTTTCTCTGTATATGTCAATAGTAATGTTTTCTTTCTTCCTTCTCACTCAGGTTGTCTGTGTACACACTGGACAGTGTCAGCAGTTGTCACATACCAGGGACTGCAGTCAGGCTGTGTCTCCACAGGTTTTATCCCTATGTGTATCCTGTATCTTTTTTGGGAACAGCTAAGTAATGACAGTGTTAGTGTTGGAAAATAAGCAAGTTAAAAGTGACTTCATTTGCCTGGTAATATATCTTGTAGTTATACTTGATAAGGTATGTTTTTGTCTCTGAAATTTATAAAGTTAGCTTGAAGGAAGAGTCTCTAGAGATGAAGCATCACACTGAGGTTTAACAAGGCCAAGTGCTG